GGCTGCACCCTTCTGGCTGAAGCGTGTAGTGCAGCTTTTTTCATAAGAAGAATTTTGTAACACATTTTCGCTTTTATTTCCAAGCAAATGTACAGATGTTCGCCATTTACAGCCACAGAAAGGTTGGCAAAAATCCACAAGATATGACCGTTTAAAAACTGTATACAAAAAGAGCCCAAAAAACTGTACATTCAGTAACATGACTACATTTAAATATTGTTCATATATGTATATACAGTACTGTATCTCAGTTCGTAGATACTGCCAGTTATGTGAAGTGCAGCTCGCTATACAATAACACATTTTCAAAAAAAAGATAACATTTGAGTTGAAAGGCCGTCAGTTCAAAGATTCAGTGTGGACTGGTGCAGAAGGTCTGTTGATGGCTTTCAAAGTTTCTACAGCAAGGTGTCGGTCCTCAGAAACGACGGTTCAGTGCAGGGGTACCTCCGAGAAACAACTAACACCACAAATCTCTTTTGTTTAAAGCTATGCATACAGACATACACGTGTCCACTTTTCTTTTCTTTTTTGCCACAATCCAGTTTGTTTGTTGGAATACTCTGAGATATAAACAAGACACATTAAATACTGTCTCTGAAAAGTAAAACAAAAAAGAGGGGTTTCTCAGATACCCCTCCCCCATAATAGCAGTGCAGTAACTTTTCATTTTTGTAAGTTATTGAGACTTCCAGATGCCTCCAAGTTTCAGTAGTATGTCAGGTTTCAATGACCAACCGCAACCATAAATATGAAAGGGTCTCTTCATTTTGAAGTAGTCCCCTAACCCACTACAGAAAGAATTAATCCATCCAAGAACTTTCATCAGTTCAAGAATAAGGACCATGCTTAGTCACCACTGTGTACTGATCTGAGATCTCAGACAGGATAATGGATTCTTCACTGTCATGGTTGACATTTGAATATAAGTGACTCTCTTAGCTTGTGCTAAGAGGACATTTACAAGCAGCTTGAGTTTGATTATACTTATTGCTTCTCCCAGCTAGTTTAGTCCTGTGGTCATAGTGTCTGTCAGCTCTCACATGGCATTATATTGTAGACTTTTGTTTTTTTCCCCCCTCTCATTTCATTAACAATTGTTGTGTTATTTGTGTGATTCTTTAGCAGTTAAGGTACTGAAGCCTTGGTACATTGTTTACAATGAAAAACATCTTTCTAGTCCAAAGGCCAATCAGAATTCAGGGCAAACAATAAATGGAGAGACAGGATCTTTGTTTTCTTCAGTCAGATAATAAAAACAACAACAACAAAAATCCAGTATTTTCTACCTTACTTCAATTGTTCTAAGTTGTAGAGCCCGACAGATATATGATTTTTTTTAACTGACACCGATATATGGTGATTTAAAAATCCAATTTTCTGATATATGTGCTGATTTTTTTCTCAGTTTCAGGTACAAAAACACATTCCCCTAATATTTGTCACGTGTAGTTATCAGTTTGCTTATTTAGGCTCAGATTAC